TGAATGGGTTCGGAGATGATTCCACAGATAGTCAGATCGAGGAAATTTTTTGTGACACAATTTGCACTCATATTGTTCTACTCCAGCTTGGCTGTGGATTCGAAGATGAGACCTCAACATGGAGGGCAATCTGAACTTCTTTGAGCACAAAGTGCACTCCAACGGCTTCTCTCCAGTATGGACACCCATATGATCTTTCAGGGTACCAAGTCGGCGAAAATCCTTACAACACAAGGTGCATTTAAATGGTTTCTCCCCTGTGTGAACACGCATGTGAAGTCGCAGAGCTGAGGAATGAGAGAACTTCTGAGTACATAATGTGCACTCAAATGGTTTTTCTCCAGTGTGCGTTCGGTGATGTGATAGCAAACTTTCACGCACAGCAAATGTCTTGGGACAAAAAGTACACTTGAATGGTTTTGCTCCAGTGTGGACTCGCAGATGTCTCCGCAGGCGGCTAGCTTGAGAGAACTTCTTGGTACATACAGAGCACTCGAACGGTTTCTCTCCTGTGTGGATTCGGAGATGAAATCGCAAATTTTGAGAATTGCGAAATGTCTTGTGGCATAGGGTGCAGTTTAATTGCTCTGGTTCTCCACCTGCGTCGGTTTGTAGACGAAGCTTCCGCTGATGTCTCTGGGGACTCTTGAGTGCTGAATACGTCTTGGGGCATGAGATGCGCTGAAATGGCTCTGGTTCCCCCCCTGCGTCGATTCGTGGATGAAGCTCCCGCTGATGTTTCTGGAGACTCCTGAGTGCTGAATACGTCTTGGAGCATGAAATGCACTGAAATTTCTTTGGTTCTCCTCCTGTGTCGGTTTGTGGATGAAGCTCCCGCTGATGTCTTTGGAGACTCCTGCGTGCTGAAAATGTCTTAGAGCATGAAATACACTGAAATTTCTTTGGTTCTCCCCCTGCGTCGGTTCGTGGATGACGCTTCCGCTGATGTCTCTGGAGACTCCTGCGTGCTGAATACGTCTTAGGGCACGAGGTACACTGAAATGGCTTTGGTTCTCCTCGAGGTTCTCCCTCGGGTTCTCCTCGAGATTCTCCTCCTGTGTCGGTTCGTGGATGACGCTTCCGCTGATGTCTCTGGAGACTACTGCGTGCTGAATACGTCTTGGGGTACGAGAATGGCTCTGGTTCTCCTCCTGTGTCGGTTCGTGAATGACGCTGCCGCTGGTGTCTCTGGAGACTCCTGCGTGCTGAATACGTCTTAGGGCACGAGATACACTGAAATGGCTTTGGTTCTCCTCGAGGTTCTCCGTCGGGTTCTCCTCGAGGTTCTCCCCCTGTGTCGGTTCGTGGATGAAGCTCCCGCTGATGTTTCTGGAGACTCCTGAGTGCTGAATACGTCTTGGAGCATGAGATGCACTGAAATCGCTCTGGTTCTCCTCCTGTGTCGGTTTGTGGATGAAGCTCCCGCTGATGTTTCTGGAGACTCTTGAGTGCTGAATACGTCTTGGGGCATGAGATGCACTGAAATGGCTCTGGTTCTCCTCCTGTGTCGGTTCGTGGATGACGCTTCCGCTGATGTCTCTGGAGACTCCTGCGTGCTGAATACGTCTTGGGGCATGAGATGCACTGAAATGGCTCTCCTCCAGAGGTGCACTTTTTAACACCTATTACGAGGCAATTT